GCAGATATGAGAAAAAGTTATTTTTGTATGTGTGTATGTATAAATATGTACTACATATGTGTCATTAGAATATGTTTCCAGCACAAATACCTGCACATTATGCTTTTCATTTGTCATTTGTCTTGTTTAAGAAGCACAGAGAGCAGAATTCAAAGCAATCCTGTAAATGGAAACACCATAACATCTCTCCAAAACTGGAGGTTCTCGTAGGTCTTACAGTAATCCTTTAAAATGATTTGTGATCTGTGAAAGTTGTAAGTGCACAAGATAACTTACTTTACTTTGACGGTGATTCTTGGCAAATTATTTGAGAAAATAAGCAGATTTAGCCATGCTCAGTTATTACAAAATGACTGAATATTTTCATTTGGTTCTGGATAAAAGGTCAAATCAAGAAAAAGAAATATAGAAATATCTTCTACTGAGCCATGCAGACATTTAGTTGGCACTGATACCAAGCTGCAGGAAATACTGTCATTGTAAATGAGATAATTCGCTTGCTGGAAAAAGGTTTTGTAAAGTGATTACATTTTACTGTATCATCTTTTGTGAAGCTTCGCCATGCTTTTGAGTGCTAGCTCTGGTGATATTTTACATTACTGTAACCACTATATGTGTTGTGTTGAAGCATGCATAACCAGCAATTCAGATCACACAGCACATACAAACTTGACAAAATTGAAAAGCATGTAATCTCTCATACAATCAACAGCTGCAAAAGCCACTTCTCTTTATTTGCCACAAAGACTTATATACCTGCATTACTGCCTACATTATGTCCATGTTATGCATGTTTTTAATACATCATCCATGCCTCTGTACTCACTCTGCAATCCTCTTGCCAAGCTCGCGGCTGGAGGGGTGGGAGTTGGCAGTGAAGATGACCAGGCCGCCCTTGGTGTGGTTCATGTCGCTGGGGTGTCGGCCGCTGCTCTCCCCGCACTCAGGCAGTGGATCCCTGGGCACCCACGCTGCGCTGAGCCCTTCCTGCAGACAAGGGGGGGGGGGGTTACTTCCTTCAAAATCAATGTGTCAACTCTGGGAACTCAACCAGACGAGGAACAGTCTAAACTTGTTATTTAATGTAATCTAAAAGTATATTGTAAGGAAACTCTGTTGAAGTTACAAACAAGCACCAACTGCAGCATTGTGTTCTTTAAAGCAACCTCTGTCTGAAAGCTTGACCAGGCAAAAAGTCATTCATGAACTTCTCCTTTTACATCCAAGGACAACATAATGTTACCATACACTATTGCAGCCATATCGTTTTCAACTGAGCATAAATCAGAAAGCTTTTCAATCTTTGAAAAAGCTTTATGTTATTTGCAATGGACAGGGTTCTGTATCCCCATACCCCACATATTGTCTGCCTCTATCAAATCTTGGAGGAGAATGGATGGCTTTCCTCCTTCGGGGTTCCCACTCCTTTTAAGAAAT